CAAATTGAGTTTCTTTTTGAAAGGTTTTCAGATAAGAAGTTTAGCCATCTTGTCGCCATTTTTCGTAAGAATCAGTGAAAAACCCTTTCAGTTATTCAGATAGAAAGAGAATAGGCTAAAATCGCTTTATGTAAGACTCACTATGTCTTCCCAACTGAGCAATGGTGAGAAGAAAAAGATCGTTCAGGCTTTCAGTAATGGTACCAACATTCATACTCTGGCTTCCCTCTTCTAAATTCATTCAAGAATCCTTAAAAGAATGATGAATTCGTATAAAAAAAGAGGAAACAGTTGAGAGAAAACTGGATCAGGAGGTCACAACAGCAAGATGAATTATCATTTCAATTTAGAGCAAAATAAATTCTTATTGTTCACAGTTGATTCCAATAATGTTATAAAAAGCTTGGAGAATTCCAGTAAGATATCTTTAATCATTTCTAAGTTACAACGTTTCAAAGCTTAATATAGAAATTGGTCAATTATGTTGTTACAAAGAAATGTGTACACACCAGAAAGGAAATAAAAAATATAATAATAATAATAATAATAATAATAATAATAATAATAATAATAATAATTTTGGCCAATTTTGGTGTATATATATATATATATATATATATATATATATATATATATATATATATATATATATATATATATTTGACTTTTAGAAATACTAATAATTTATTCGGCAGTTAAATATCGCATATAATATTTGCCTTAATTTAATCGTTCTTAAATCGTGTAAGACTGTGTTGAACCGACTGTCTTCATATTAATGCAGGTGTCCCCCGGGGTTATATCCTTGAATCTACGTTGTCTCTTCAGGAACGATCTCCCTGATGCTAACAGCCCCCAACCAGGCATTTACGGAACTATTTCTTTTCTATGTGTCGATCATTGTTCTCCCCAATTTCCGGTCCTTTGTAACTCTTAATAAATTGTGCATCTTTGCCATCTGTCACAATCCCTGCTCTGCCATCCATTTATACAGACACTCTACGTATGTTATGCGTTCTTCTTCTTTGTCCCTCTAGACTTCAATCTCTCCTGTGACTATCAAATTTTCCAAGCTCTCTTTCCTCTCTACGTACCCTTGAAATTCCAAGTTTACCTTCCTGAATTTACATATAAGTGTCCCTTTTGTTTCCATTTCTACTAAAACTGTTGTCATCTTCGGTCCATGTCAGTCTCAGCGTCCTTCTGTAGAGCCACATTTTATGTTGCTTATGTTTCCTGGGTAGTCCGAAAGTCTTGTCACTCTCTACCAAGAAGTAATGAGAACAGTAAAAGAACAACTAATACTGTAATCGAAAGCACGTGTACTGGATTCGGTTTATTCACTTTCATTGACGCTGTAACATATCGAGAAGTTCTTTCTTCCAAACTGTAGAAAAGTTAATAAGCGATCCAATTTATGTAAATTCATTCTACAAGGCGGTTCGAATGGCTTGTCACCCTTTAGCAAAAGAACAAGTATTGTAGTAATACAAAGCATATGTACTGAATTCAGTTTATTCACTTTTATTGAGGCTGTCACACATTGAGAAAAGCTCTACGAATATCATCATATTCATGGCACAAAATAATGCGGTGCCATGTCCCGTGTGATATTTTACGAATCTGTTCTTTGTTGATTGTTACAAAGGCTCTCCAAACGACATTCTTTGACAGATGGGTATTCTAGTATCGTTCATGTGAAACCCTCTCCTTAATAATACCCCACAGAGTGTTGAAATGGAAAATTATATTATTTAAGGGTGACAAGAAATTCGGATCAGTCTGTAGAGGGACTTATATTACGTGACAATTCGGTACACTTTTCTTTGTTTCTAACGATATTTTTTTCTGTTTCTTAATATTTTACTTAATTTTTGGAAGGCATCTTCCGTTATCCCGAGGCGCCTTCGGAATTTAAGTAATCTACTTTCTGTGGAGTAGTGAATAGCGGCTCGGATTGAGTAATCGGAGAGCCGCGTTCAAATTACAGTCGAATCTATCACATTCACTTACGTGCTAATACCCTAGGAGAAATTAATCCTCTTCTTCTGCCCATGCTATGGGTAAACAGCAGGGAAAACCGGTTTCTATAGCCTTGGATGGCAACTGGTATACCGCCGAAAAAATGGCAAACTACTGCGGAAAATATCTGCCACGTAAGTCATGTATCGAAAGATACATGGTCCACCAAGCGTGTATCCCGTATGGAGTATAACTGATTGATTTTCTTCCTCTGTAAAAATACATCCTAGACATTTAATGTTTGTACTTGCTTGATTTTGGCATCTCCAAGTTGTAATTTGTATGTTGAGCTGTTTTCTTTTGATAACAACATATCATTCTGTCTTCTTGCAATTGATGTTTAGCGATTTTTTTTTTACTTTCCTTTCCTAAATTCTATAGGAGTTCTTGTAGTTCCTTTCTTTGTCTGCTATCATGAAGGTAACTCCTGCATATTTTATATTGTTAAGATTGTGTCTACGAGAAAGGGAGTGGAATCGAGAGCCAAAATCAGGATCGATTACATGACAGACATTTTGGATTTTGACGAAAGCTACAGATATATAGCTGGAGAAATAAACCAGATGTGACAGAAATATTCAATACACGGAAAATTGTAGATTTATAAATGAAAAAGGGGGATACTGGAGAGAAATATTGCCTGTCACTGTAGAGTGAACCAACTCTCCAAGCGGCAAACCTGGCAATTGATTCCGTATAACCGTTCCATTTCGTTGACTGAGAATTTATATTGAATCAATCTTTACTGAACATTTGAACACGAATCCAAAGCAGCACATAACTTTCAATAAATAAACAGCAAATAGAATGCTTTATTTCTTCTAAAGCATGAGAGCCCAATCAGGTAGATAAGCATTTTTAACAATGTAAAGCATGTCACAGGAACGATAGCTGTTATGCGTACCTTTTCTCTCCAAAGACGGATATGTAATATATTTGGCCCTGATCTGGTATCTCGTCTGCAGTCTCTCTCTCACAGATGTACCGTTGCTTCCCTCTGTTTTTTTTTTTTTTTTTTTTTTTACAAATACTTTCCCGGTTACTGCTCCGATGAGCTGCTTTCGCTGGTTCCCAGACTGGGGTGAAAAAATAAATACAGCGACTAAAAAATGCGCTAATCGAGTAAAATGAATGAATTAATCAAAATATCAGAAGCGCAATTTATTAAACAAAGATATTATTCTTTTTATTCATTGTTCTTCTTTTCCTATGTGCAATATCCTTTCAAGATATGAGCTGTGATGGCTTTCCCCCAAAATTTATCATTTGTTCCCCATAGCCACTTTTCTCTCTTTCTTCGCCCCCACCCCGTTCAGCCATCTATTCACAAAAGCTCATCCGGTAGGTGGCTCTCGGCTTTCCCCTATCTCCTTTTTATTAGCCATATTGATATGGCAGTCCCCGCTGACTGCAATGTATCTTTGAAGATATTCAAAAAGCTGTCAAAATACAAGGACCTTGAAATAGAAATCTCAAAAATGTGGCATATGGGAACATCAACAATCCCTGTTGTAGTTGGGTCCTAGGACTTGTCGGAAAAGATTGCAGTAGACTAACTGAAGGGATTCCTGGAAGTCCATGCCTCAAGAAGATACAAAAATTCCCCATAGCCACTTTTCTCTCTTTCTTCGCCCCCACCCCCGTTCAGCAATTTATTCACAAAAGCTCATCAGATAGGTGGCTCTCTGCTTTCCCCTGTCTCCTTATTTCTTTTTATTAGCCTTTTCCCTATAGAACGAAGGTGATCATAACTCTCCACTTGCCCCTATCCCTTGTAGCTCTAAATAAGTGTTGTCCCTTTGCTACTACTCCCAGACCCTGTTCTGTTATCCACTTGCTTAATCCTGCTAGGTAGGTCATGCGTTGCATTCCCTTGTTTCTCTTTCACTCTATTCGACCTGTGAGTATCAGATTCTCCAAGCCCTTCTTTCGCATTACATGTCCCAGAAACTTCAGCTGCCTCTTCCTGATGTTAAGTATAAGCTACCTCCTTGTTTGCATCCTCTCCAAAAACCTCACACGCTCAGTCCATAATATCGTTAGCATCCTTCCGTAGAACCATACCTCCGTTGCCTCGAAGCTCTCCTTCATCTTTGAAGGGACCGTCCAACATTCGCTGCCGTAAAGGAGGACAGACGTCACATAGCAGCTCAGTACTCTTTTCTTTGTCAAAAAAGACATCCTCCTGTCTCGCTTTTGGAATGCGTCCTTGGCCATCCCAATATGTCTTTGGATCTCAGCGTCGCACTTAATGTCCTTTTTTAGAATATTTCTCAGATATTTAAATTTGCGGGTCTGTTTGATTTTAGTGTCCCCAAACTGTAAATCGCATTTCGGGCTCATCCTTTTACTGATGACCATGCATTCTGTCCTGCGAAGATAATCTATTCCGAGCTCTCCTTCCTGATTATGCTTTGAATGCATCTCAGCAGCTGTCTCGTCCTGATAATGAGTATAAGCGATCTTTTCTTTTGCGATTTTCTTTAAGACTTCGTCGTTGCTTACTCGCTCCGTTTATTAGCATTCTTCCGAAGAACTACATATCTGCTCTCCTCGTCCGGGTGGTAATTTTCCAGCTGCTTTTAGGAGGGAAATAAACGAAAATAACGTCCATAACTGTTGCATTTGAACTCAGTAAACTTAAGCAAGAATTCAAAATTCTTATTGGCAGGCGCTAGATGTGCGCATAGTGCGTTATCGCAGAACATGCGCTTGGCGTTTTGAGTTTGAATTCCAGTCGAAGACGTTGCTTTCATTTCCGCCCATATGCATTTAGAACAAATGTATAGATCCATCGTCTCTCCTCATCCACATCATCGAAGACTGGACTGTCATGAAAACGAATGACAACACTGCATTCACAGCTAGTAGGCATTATTGTTAGCAAATTCCATATCCTAAAATCTAAGTTATTATTATTATTTTTATATGCATCCAACCCCGAGCAAAGCGGGAAGCTTACGGTCAAATCACGCTGAAACACCGAAGTTAAGCAGCGTAGAGCCAGGTCAGTACATAGATGGGGGACCGCTTGGGAACACCTGGTACTGTAAGCCCCCAAAGTCCAACCCTTACCTCACAGTCGGTGGGGGGGTGTAAACGGTAGTGTCAGAGCTATGCCGCCCGGAACTTCGTTCCTGGTAGGGCCACCTAAGGCGGACAGGTCTAACACACACGCCGGCTAACAAGGGCTCTGGTGAAAATCCAAGGAGCGTCTGCATCGGTAACCGGCGGCTTCTGGTCGTTCCTGTCTCTGCGTCTGTGGGAACCCCGCGGCAAGCAAGAACGTTATCCGAGTAGGCCTGGGTACCCTACTTCTGTAATTTATCCCAAGAATCTTCTTCTCATAACAGGAAGAAGCCGGCTCAATCCGCCCAGGGTGAATGCCGCATCAGTACAGTACAGTAAAGCGGGAAGCCACTAGCCCGCAAGGGTTTACAGAGAGTTGGAGTGAGAACAAATAGGAGTGATAGAGGAAAGGATGAAGAGAAGGATAGGGGATAGATCAAGGCATCTGGAGATGTCGATTGACGTTACATTTGAATAGTTGGAGATTATAGCTATCAGGGAAACAGGGAAAGGGGAGGGAGTTCCGCAGGCGTTAGGTGCGAGACATGAAGCTATTGTCGTAGAAGAGACGGCTACATTTAACAGTTTCGACATTGAAAGTGTGAGAGAGAGATGCCAGCCTAGTAGAACGCTTAAATTTATGAAGTCTGGGAACCAGCGAAAGCAGCTCATCGAAGCAGTTACCATGAAAGTATTTGTAAAAAAAAAAAAAAAAGACAAGGGGAGGCGACAGCACGTCTGTGAGAGAGCGACTGCAGACAAGATGCCAGATCAAGGCCAATATGTTGTTACTACTCCCATCCATTTGACAGGTGTGGTTCAAGGTGACATTCAAGGCAGAATCGTGTAATGGCTTTTGTATCGAGGTATTTGAGGTTACATCGTCACTCCTCTCAGAGGTAGATTTGTGTTTGAAGCTACCTTCTTCCAGTCTTTGACTAACGAAACAGGACCTACAACAATGCAGGTGGTTTAAATTCAAATTCTCCTTTTCCTAAACCGGTAGCCACCTAAAGCTATAGGACCAAATTTGTCCTTTTGGGTGATAACTTTAACTACCTTAACTAATAATAAATAACTGCCGTTAGCTTTACCTATCAGTAAATTCCTGTGGAACAAATCCGACAACATAATTTTAGTCATATCCATTATTAGAATCAAACCTATAACACCTGTTATTTTATTTACACTTGTTTTCCTAATTAATATGCAGTTCATGATAAGTAGTTTGGGTCTCTAATAGCAGGTTTGTTTTATTAGTGTCAAAATTGTCGTAAATTCTGCTGTAAAATGAATCAAAAACATTAAGTGCTCAACACGAACGCGAAGAATGTTAAATTGGAGTAATCACATTAATTCTAATTAATTTTGCGCGCCTCTTCACATGTCAAATACAATATTTATCTTCTGTTGTGTAGAGTTATTTTGTTTTTTTGTGTAGAGTTACTTTATTTTTGACTGGAGGAAAATAATTGAAAAAAAAGACACGAATGGAAGTTACAACAGGAAATCGTATTTGATGAGAGCAAAAATCTATAAAATAATATTTTTCCAACGTTCATGAATAAAGATCTCTGTGATCAGATTTGATCGATTTTATCTGCACACATTTGATTATTTATTTAATCAGGAATTTCGTTTTCCGCCTTTTCAGATATCAAAATTGTTGATTAAATAAGGACGATTTCGTTTTTAATACTTTTTCAATGAATTTCCATGAAAACACATATATGGCAAACAGTATCTATCTATCTATCTATCTCGCTAGCTATCTTTCTTTCTTTCGATCACAGTCTGTACATATCAACAGCTCACACTGTTCATCTATCTATCTATCTATCTATCTATCTATCTATCTATCTATCTATCTATCTATCTATCTTTTTCTTTCTTTCGATCACAATCTGTACATACAATATCTCATACTGTCCTTCTATCTATCTATCTATCTATCTATCTATCTATCTATCTATCTATCTATCTATCTAGGTCTTCTTTCCTTCGATTACAGTCTGTATATATCCAAATATCTCAATCTGTTCATCTATCTATCTATCTATCTATCTATCTATATATATATATATATATATATATATATATATATATATATATAAATATTTATAACTTACGAACATAATCTTTACATATCCATATATCTCATTCTATCTATCTATCTATCTATCTATCTATCTATCTATCTATCTATCTATCTATCTATCTATCTATCTGTCTAGGTCTTCTTTCATTTGATTACAGTCTGTACATATCCAAATATCTCATTCTGTTCATCTGTCTATATATATATATATATATATATATATATATATATATATATATATATATGTGTGTGTGTGTGTGTGTGTATCTTTCTATATTTCTTACGATCATAATCCTTACATACCCACATATCTCATTCTATCTATCTATCTATCTATCTATCTATCTATCTATCTATCTATCTATCTATCTATCTATATAAATAAATATATATATATATATAATATATATATATATATATATATATATATATATATATATATATATATATATATATATATATATATATATATATATATATATATATATATATATATATATATATATATATATATATAAAAATTGGTGCGATGGATGTATTATCGTCGAAATTAGGAAAAAACGAAAATAATACTGACATCTCCTTTAAAAGATATATATACATATAGCAAAATTTCATAAAATAATTTGAAATTTCTTCAATAAAATCGCCACGACTTTAAAATATTCTGCCTCTTTTCTGGACAGTCTCCTTGTTTAAGCTTGTGAATGCTGCCAAAATCCTTGCTTTAAGTTTATCTTTTATTTTTGTTTGTCTCTCCCTCAACTTTCCCCCATATATAATACTCAAGACGGTTTCAGTCTGAGGAGTTTGGTGGCTAGATATAAGGTGTCATATGGTCGCACAATTTTTTTGACAGCCATGACTGGTTACTCCTGCTTGCGTGGCATGTTTCAGAGTCTTGTTGATATAGGGTCATCCAGCAGCTATGCTCTTGACTCAGGGCAGAACTACCACCTCAGGTCACTTGATGTAGGCCTCTAGGTTGAGTCTTGCCAAAAAATTCAGGATATCTTTTCCAATAAGAACGATCAGAGTTAGTTTTCCCAGTTGCGTACTTTCGTAATCTGCATTAGATTCACCCACCCTTTTTTCGAACCCTCTGCACTGACTTCAGATTGACACCCAAAGTTTCTGAAATATTCGCATTGGAGCTTCAGGCTTTGATGCCAATCAGTACAGCATGCCATTTCCAAATTCCTGGGAGAATAAATTGTCAGGTTTCTCTTTTTCAAATAGACTGTGCCTAACTGACCGTACTATACTGTGCTGTCGACAAAATCAAAAGCAAACACCGCGCATGCTTGGAATTAAAAATGTAAAATGCCGACAGTTTAACCATCGCATCCTCTCTCTCTCTTTATATATATATATATATATATATATATATATATATATATATATATATTATTGAATACTGAAAAATAAAAAAATACTAATTGATGTCAATGTGTGTTTCATAATTTCACACTTGTCAGGACTTTCAATATATATAATTGACCTATATAAATAGGTAGCATTACTAATTCTTGTATATGTATCTCCACTGATTAGTTAAAAATGAGCCATCAATTTGAAAAAGAAACGCCCAAAGAAACAATGTTTTTTCAATGAAATATTTTTTTTTATTATTAAGAGGAAATCCAACTCATTTTTGTTAATTAAATTATATTTTATATCCCTGTCAGTACGTTTAATATGCTAAGTAAAAAAAAAACAAAAAAAAAAAACGTAGGATGATGAAATCCAGACTTCTCAGCTTACTTTACCTAAACGAGACTTCAGCATCTTCCGCCTCCTTCAACTGCTGCAGTACTTCCTCCCCTACATCTCCACCGCCATTAAGAATGTGAAATGCTTACCTTTCTAACGTTACGTATTGAATTTTTTCATATAGATTTTAGATAAAGATATTCCCACTTCAATTCAGATTATGGCTGTCTTTTTTTTTCTGAAATTGTCTTTAAGTATACTGCGGAATACCCTTGGGAATTTAAAAAGAAGATTGATAAGAAGAACATTGGCCATTTATGAGAGAGGTTAGGCTGACCTCTACACATGACGCTTACTTCTTTGCCACTATAAAATAAAATTAGTAGAATAGCATTCTTGGGATGTAATATTTTATTATTTTATTTTTTATTTATATTTCTAATTTTTCTACGAACATATTTGTACGATATAAGCATTATAATAGTCAAACAGTCATGACTAAATAATAATAATTATAATAGCAATAATAATAATAATAATAAAGCTAACCGCCCAGATATTGTTATTAGAGACGACAAACAAACAAATTGCCACCTCATTGATATGGTAGTCCCTGCAAATTGCAATGTATTTTTGTAGATCTTCAAAAAGCTATCAAAATACAAGCACCTTAAAATCGAAATCTCAAAAATGTAGCAGATGGGAACATCCAAAATCACTGTTGTAGTTGGAGCCCTCGGATTGATTGGAAAAGATTCCAGTAGACTAATTAATGGGATTCCTGGAAGTCTATGCCTTAAACTAATACAAAAAATTGTTCTCACAAGTACAGCCCACAGCTTACGAAGGGCTTTATCTATGTAAAATATGTTTGTGTGTGTGTGTTTTTTTTGTGTGGTCAGTAGAAAATGCCATGACGTCATTTATTATGCTAAACAACAACAACAACCATAATAAAACAATAACAACAATAATAATGTTAATAACATTAATAAAGCAATAATAATGATGATGATGATAATAACAACAACAGCAAAAATAACAACAACAACAATAATAATAATAATAATAATAATAATAATACAGTCAAGAAATCCTGGAAGTGTATGCTTATTGCAGGATCATTTGAGAGAAAAATTACCATGAAAATTACCGAGAAATTGCCCGAACTCAA